TATAAATTAGGGTATAAAAGGGATAAGGGATACTGTGATTTATTGTACTTGTTTATAGGTCAAATTTTTAAAAGAAGATATTTATAATTTAATATCAAATTGATTAAATTTCTCTATATATACTTTTCTGCCTGTCTTTAATTTTTACTTAGAAACCAATATTTATTTATTTATTTATTCAACGCCCAAGGCAATAATACAATATAATTACATTTTAAAGTGTACAAATTATAAACTAAAGATAATATGTGAGAAAATTAGATTATTAAGAGTTTATAGATAGATAGCTCTGTTATACATACATAACACTCAATATAAAATAAATATGTAACATTAAATAAAAACTAATAAAATTAAACATTTAATAAACTATAAATCAGTTAAGACAAGACCTTAAGACAGTCTTTTAAGGATAATTTTTCTGGCTGGATTTTTTATATTTGTCAGCGACAGACCAAAGATGTCAATCTCAGAAGCAAAATCATTTATTATTTTTGAAATTAATTAGTAAGTAATTAATATAGAAAGAATTTTAGATTTTCTTTTAAACGAGACATTTTGCTTTATGAATAATTTATTTCTTGCTTCGATTTGAATCAGACAAGACATCCTGGATACAAAAAAAATACAATTTAATATATTTGTCTAAATTTATTTCTTATAAAAAAATTTAGCTTGTCCCATGATGAACCGCGAATGGGAAGCCAGGGGAAACTTAAAAATTTATTCTATTTAAAATATATATATATATATATATATATATATATATATATAATGGTATACACCTATACCTCCTTTTACACGGAAGATACGTTCCATAAAAAACCATGCAACCCCTAAAAGTTTATTTTATATGGAAAAACCGTGCTAAACGAAAATCACTATAAAAAGCTACTTTTTGTCAGTTTTTATTATGATGAATAACAAATACCGTGCACAAAAAATAAATATTAAATATTTAATATCAAAAATATTTAATAAACTATAAGAATATTAATTTATTTCAATAATAAAACAAATATAAACTATTTTGAAAAATGCATTTTCTTTATAGATAAAAATTAAAATTGGTATACAGTATATACAGTTTGGTCGTTAGTAGAACCTAGTTTTCTAGTTATTTTTTAAATTGCTTGTTTATTGAAGTCCAGTATTCTGTTTAATTTTTAGTTTGCTCGTTTATAAGAGTCCTTATTTTCTTTCATAAATAAAGTCCCTCTTCGTTAAGTTTTCGGTTTGCTCGTCTGTAGAGTCCTATTTTATTTGGTTTTTAGTTTGCTCGTCAGTAAAGTCCTGTTTTTTTATTTTTAATTTGCTCGTTAGTAGAGTCCCGTTTGTGTTAAATTTTCAGTTTGGCCGTCAATAGATTCCTATAATTTAATGTCTGGTTTGCTCGTCAGTAGAGTCCCATTTTTCACTTAATTTTTAGTCAGTAGAGTCCTATTTTTTATTTTTAGTTTGGTCGTCAGTGGAAGTTCTTTTTTCTATATTTTCTGCTACTATTCATATATTTTTTGTTAGCTGCTTCTTTCACTTGTGCACCACATTTGCAATCAGTTGGTTATTTTCATACTAAACATTTTATACTAAAATATTTTATGGCAAATCAATGTTTGCCGGGCCAGCTAGTATATATATATGTATATTAGTATATATATATGTGCTAAATTATTTTAATAGTTAAACATTTTTTAATATTCTTTCCCAGAATTGATTTCTCTTCAACTTTAATTTTAACTCAGAAACCAATTTAAGTGATTAGAAAGAATTTCAGACTTTTTATCCAAATGAGTCTTGAACGTTTTTTGCACACTTTTTCTTTTCATGAATAATTTATTGCTTCGGATGCAATTACACGAAGAGAAGATAGATTGAAAACTAAAGATGAAAGAAGAACAGGGAACGAAACGTCTGTTGCCAATTACTACAAGGATTCCGTTTCAAGGGATAATTAATAGAGGCAAAGGAAAACTTTACACGAATAGATAGAATAGAATTTATACGAATAGTTGTTGTTGTCGACATGGACACTGAGGGTTTTGAAGGCAATTTTAAAGTATACCGAGGTGCTGTAGGACTTTAGGATGTTAGAAAATATTATTAACAATTTAATTTTGTAAATATTTGCTGAATGTTGTATTTACATCCCAGAAGTAGTTTAAAAGTTATGAGCAATAATAATAATAAACGCATCGCCAATTCAAAATTGGTTGTAAACAAATAGCTCAAGGATTAGTACTCTGTTTTCAAGGGCTGTTTTGAAGCACACCAAGTTGTTCTAGGGTTGTTTCGTGTTTGGTACAAATGTAGATTATTTAATTGTGAACAAATCGTTCTTTGTCTTTATTTGTATAAATCAAGCAGTTTAAAAGTTATGAGAAATATTGTAATCATATGCATTAAATTCAATTTACAATTAAAGTTGTGACACTATACAGGTACTGACTTTTATATACCATTTTCGAATTTAATTTTAATATATACCGAGTGCTCTTTGGACCTTGTGATGTTACAACATATTATATATAATTTAATTTTGTACAAATTTGTTAAATATTTTGTCAAAATTGGACGAACCATTTAAAAGTTGCAACAGATATAAAAAATAAAGACAGAGACGACGAAAGAACGAGACGACTATTGTGGATTTTAGTTCGGAAATTATTTTTATTATATATATATATATATATATATATATATATATGTATATATATACATGTACACGTGTATCCATGTGTCTATTCCTCTTGTTTTCCTGATGCATCTATATGCATTATGCAGAAATGCATTAAAATGCATCATTTGTATTCCTTGCATTTCTCCGGCACTTGAGTGGGCTGATGGATAAAAATAGCACGAACAAGGAAAATTGCAAACAAAACACAACAAATGAAATATGATATATTTATTTATATACATAGCCCTATACTATACATAGTACAGTAAAAAAGAAAAATTAATGAAGATTTTGGGATTTGAAAAAGTCACTTTTTTAATCGTTAAGTGTTTTATATCAATTTCGCATTTTTTCTTCACCAGTCAAATAGCAATAAAATAATGAAACATATTCGGTGTCGAAATTTGCAGAATCAGTATCTTATCTTTAAAATTGTTAAAAATGACACACATTTAGAAACGAAACGTACAAAACAGATATCTTGTAATATATGCTGTTTTTACTATCATAATCTCAACGTATATAAATTTGTATGTGTGTATTTATATGTGTGTGACAATTTCGCTAATGTGAAACCACGTTTCATTATATTTTCCCTCACAAAGACCATCATTAGCTTTCATTAATATTTTCTAAAGACCATTATTCCGTCAAAATCGTGAAAAGAATTTTTCCTGGTGGTGGAGTATAATAAATTATTAATCGTATTTGTTCCAAGGCACCTCCACTTCTAACCTATATTTCCATTATTCTAGCTAGATTAAAGGTTTCTGTAATAATAGAATAAAAAAAAATTGTTATTGAAAGTCAGTAAGTGCAACCAACCATCCTTGTCCAAATTGGGAACGATATAAACAAGAAGCTTTGAAATAAATGATTTTTTATGCATTGTCATCTAATAGCATTTGTCTGTTGTATTTGATCAAGTTTTTCAAGTGATTTAAACCAAAACAAATTTACTAAACTTTACTTGCCATCCAATAAAAAAGTGCAACGTCTGGTGCAACGTCGACCACCAGATTTTTTAAAAACGCCCTTGTTTTTTTAAATATTTTTAAGTAAAAATTATTTCCCCTGATCACGATCGAACCCAGTACTTTGTCGTCACATAATAAAAGTGATTCGGTTTTTTATATACATATATTTTTCTTCTGAAATGTCTCGATAATTCGCCTACATGATGCCTACATGTAAGTAGGTATTCATCGTGTCTTGTTTAATATTGATAAGTCCATTATGAATGTCCATAATGTTTAGACACCGTCGTCTTTCTCCACCTCCGATGTGTAATTTGACATTGATTTTCCACCCAGACGTCCGCCCCTTGCAATATATACCAGTGGCGTACAAGAGTAAAGGAGACAAGAGCCACATTAGTACGAGTGTTTATTATATCTCTTGTAACTTTTGTAAAGTTCATTTGTGACAACATAAATAAAGGTTATTTATGGGAATTAGGAAATAAAAAAAACTGGTGAATCCATCTATTCAAAATTTTGAGGGTATATTTATACATGTTTTGAGAATATGCAGTAAAATTTTTGAGAAAAAAAATTAAATATTTTTTAAGTTATCGTCGATCTCCAATGGCGCGAAAAAAAAGACCCTTAAGGGGCACAACTAGCGTAACCGCCTAAAAAAAAGGTGATTTTTGGAAATTTATATTAAAAAAAAGACATTATCTATCATTTCAAAATTTTACGAATATATTTATATATGTTTTAAGAATACATAGTAAAATTTTTGAAGAAAAAAATTAAATATTTTTTAAGTTATCATCTATCTCCAACGGCGCGAAAAAAAAGACCCTTAACTGCTGCAGTGATTCCGGCCTTCTACGTGGATGAAATTCAAGAAAAAAAATCTCGTTAAACTAGATGATATTGTCTGTACAATGACCTACGATAAAGGAAAAAATAAAAAATTGACAAAATAGCGGCGTTTTTTTTTAAAAAAGTCGAATTTTACCCGAAATTTTGGTCGTTTTTGGAATGCCAAAATTCGATTTTTGATCAGATCAAAAAATCGATAGGTCATTGTACGGAGAACTACATATAGAACATTTAAAAATCAAATTTGATAATGATCGGATCATTTCTTTTTGAGTAATCGCTGCAGCAAATTCGGAAAATGCTGTTTCGAGAAAAACGCGTTTAAAGATAAAATGATCGTTACACTATATACTGTAAATATACTCTTTGAATGGCTGTGACTCAAAAACTATTCAAGATATCGATTTAAAATTTTGATATGTTATTGTTAAAGGTATAACCTATCGAAATATGGAAAAATTGAAAATTCGATTTTTTGAAAATTTCACTCTGGGTGTGCCTTTTAATAATAATTTTGTTCTCAAATTCAAACTCCTTTGTATGAATTTATGATCTTTATTTACAAATTATCAAAAACAACTGTTAACAAATATGTATAAAAATCTAGTCTAGAACTATCTTAAACAGTTTGTCCATTTTTCATAATATAATTCAACAAATCCATATTACTGATGATTCCGATGATGACCTCACGATCTTGTGCCGATTTATCTGAAGAGTACTGTCTTTGGTTGTGCACTACAACGAGGAAAGGCTCCTTTTCCAAAATCCTAAACAAAACAAAAAAAAATCATTAGTTCCTGGTTACACCTAGCAATTTTTTACCATTTTACCTGGAAACACGTCCAAGTGTAGTATCTAAAGTAATCTTCCTAAATTGCTTGTACAAAGCCTTTTCGACTGGATCTTGTGGTTTGTTCTTAAGACCAACTATCCTGTTCATCAAGTTACCCATAGTTACCATACCCACAATGACGTCACCTTCTTTCACAACCGGTAGTTGGTCATAACCTTGTTGGGTCATCAGACTTATGGCCTTTTGGCAAGTGACATTAGGACCTGGGTAAAACAATATGTTAATTAACTTCTCGTAGGGTAGTTGTGGTAATGGGCCGAAAATCGAAAATGAAAATTTTTGCATTTCTCGACGTTTTGTAGGTTTCTGAACATTTTGGCATACCCCAGAAAAAATGGATGCATGTGTGTATGTAGGTATGGACACAATTTTTCGGGCGCACGGATCAACCGATTTGATTTGAATGGTTTAAATAACTTTCGATCCCTATTGATAGGAAGATGTGCTGTTTAGTTTTTGGCAAAGAGTGCAGAAAATACAAATCGAGTTTTTGAGAGAACGGAGTATCCGATTTGAATGATCTAAAAATCATTCAATTCGCAATGATTGGGAGAAGGGGTGATTAGTTTTTGGTAAAGACAGGTCCCGCCATTTCGAAGATACAGAGCTAAATGTGCAAAAAATGATAGTTTTTGAGTGAACTAAGCGTCCGATTTGAATGTATTACCGATGTGTTGTTTATCCTTATATATCTTGTGGCATTCAAACTATTTGGCTGATCCAAGTGCAATATTAGGCATATTTGTTTAAAATTAAATGATGCACAATTTTGAATGCTCTACAGCAACTCGGTACACTTCAAAATCGCAATTGAATATAAAATAGGGTAGAAACAATAGGATTTACTCGATCACGTTTACGCGTTTATTTGTGGCAAATCTTTGTTAACGCCTAAACTATTTTTATAACATAAATAGTATGTTCAGAAAATCTGTTTGAAATTAAATAATAAATAATTTTTATCCTAGATCAACTTCGTGTACCTTAAAATCCTATTTGAAAGTGCAGACTATTTGACTGTTAATATTTTCACATTATCTAAAAAACTTTCTGCTTGTATTGACAAAACAATTGCTTTTGAGAATAAAAAATTATTACATCTTTTTTTATTTTCCATAAAATATTTTTGTAATTTTGGATTAAAAATTGAAAAAATTACCCAGGCTAAGCACAGTCTAAGCGCCGCTCTGGTACAAATGTTTACTCAAGTGCGTTTAGACTGTTTATGTAAGAAACACTTTTTCAATTTTGTGAAAACTATTGAAAAATGTGAAAATGCCGCCAAGCTAAGCACAGCATAAGTGAAAATGTCGCACAGAATTATTTGCAAATGCGTTTAGACTGTGAATATACGGGAGCACTTTTTCAATTTTGTGCAAATTAGGCAATTATTTTTTTTTGAAATTGAATTCTAAATGAAATGACGATTGTTAATGTTCTGGAGATAAATTGATTTATGATTAACATTTGATTTGCTCAGATAAAACAATTAAGATAGCAAAAAAATAATGAAAGTTACAGTATTTGTAATAACATATTTGAAAACGTTTAAAATTTCTCGAATATTTCATTACGGTACGGGAAGTTCCAACAATTTGCCTTAAGGCACGATGCCATACACCACTAGTTTACTACTTGGATGATAGATTTTAATTTAATACTTGCCTACAGTAAGTGGTGCTTTCAACTCCAAACTCGATACCTTCAAATCCCACCACCAGTGTTGTGCGTCGGATTTGGTTTCTAGGAGGTCTCTAGCTTCCATCCAGTTGTCGGAGACGAATTTGGTCATGTAGTTTCTGATGCCATCTGGTAAAACCACAACACAACGTTGGTTTTTGTTCAAATCTTTGGCAGCTTTTAAAGCTACAGCCAAAGCTGTACCAGAACTTCCACCACATAGAAGACCTTCGTCTTTGATCAACTTTCTGGCTAAAGGAAGGGCTTCTTTGTCGTTGGATTTGACCCAACGATCTACCACTTGGTGATCGAGGACAGTTGGTATAAAGTCATAACCTGAAAAAAAATACATTGAATTATTTTACATGCGGAAATTTTTGGATTTACTACAATTTTTTACCGATTCCTTCGACTTCGTAGAACGTAACGTCAGTTTCATTCAGTTCTTCTGGCCTGGACAATATTGAGCCTTCAGGATCTGCTCCGACAACAATGCAGTTCGGACATTTTTCCTTAATTTTCCTGCCGATACCACTAACAGTACCTAAAATAGACCTGGTGTAAAATTTTGTGTGGTGTAAAAAGTGGTTTTTAACTTCCCGAAGGAAAAGTTTATGTTTTCATCAAAAAATCCGAATTGCTAATTTTATGTTTTCTCGATGTTTCAAGCCATTCTGAATCGAATGAGGCCAAAATTGGAAAAAGTATGTGTGTGTGTATGTGTGTGAACAGATTTTTTGCCGTGAATCGACTTTTTCTCTGGACCGATTTCAGAAATTTGAAAGCCATTTGATGTATCTCAATGAGGACTATCGTTTGTTAATTTTATGAGACGATCTGCCAAACCGTTTCTTTGTAATTTAAAAAAAAGTGTTAATCTTTTCGTCCACATTTAAGCTCAAACTACGAAATCGATTTAAAAAAATCAAAAACTGTTCGAAAGATATTAGTTGGGAATGATACTGATTAGTTTTAGGTGAAAATCTACCCAGTCATTTTCTTGTAATTAACTGTTGAAAAAAAATTTCAGCCGACTTTTATGGAACTTTTTTTGGCGATATATATCATAGTTTTATAGAACTTATTGAAATATTAGAGTCTTACGACAAGTAGTTTAATTTTAAAAATTCATCAAAGTTTGAGAAAAGTTTGAGTAGTTTTTTTGACGTTTGTCAAAATTAAAATTAGACGATTTATTTGGTATAATGATAGAGTACTTGGTCTTAAGGAAAAGAAATAGGTTCAATTATAAAAATTATTGATTTGTGAAAATTTGCTTTAAGAAAATACTCCGAGTTAACGTGTTCGTTCGTGTTCAATTATGTGTAATAAATCCACTCAGAATACTTCTACTAACTCATAAATTAGTTTATTTTTTATTGATTAAATCGATTATTTGAAAATATATCGAGAAGTTCATGTAACTTGCCTCAAGGCAAAATACCAATAGTTATATATTTTGTGGTAGAAGAATTAATTTTAATCAATACTAAAAATGCGTAAAAAAGTATAAAAAAATATACTCATAATTTATCTTCTTTTTAATGAATCAACATCCACAATTTGATTTTTAATATTATGTCATCAGAAGCTTTTATATTTATTAGTGTAATATAAGTTTTTCCGGCGATTTTTCCCTAAATTGCACGCAACCCGATTCAACGCGTCGTTTCAGGTTAACGTGCAACCGCCCTTGCGCAATTTCTGGGAAACGTTACAAATTATAAATTTTGGTTATAAAAATATAATAATTTCGAATTTTTTTATAACGAATTTTTTTATTGTTTATTTTATAATATTTACGCAGTATGAATATTAAATATAAAATTCGACTATTAAACTTTAATAGTAATAAATCCACTCGGAACACTTTTAATCAATCATAAATTAATTTATTTTTTATTGATTAAATTTACACATATCGGGAAGTTCATGTAACTTGCCTCTAGGCAAAATACCAATACCAACTAGTTATAAATACCTCCTGTACCAGCTCCGCAAACCACCATATCCAGTTGTCCTCCACATTGTTCAATAATCTCCTCTGCAGTTCCATCATAATGTGCCAAAGGGTTACCAGAATTTCTGCAAAAACCAAAACCACATAACCATACATCTATTACCAACAAAAATCTATTATCTTACCTGTATTGATCCAAAACAATACTGTTAGGAATCTCCTTGTTAAGCCTTTGTGCAACTCTGATGAGTCCTTCGGGTGAATCAAATGCAGCTTCAGTAGGTGTCCTGATGATTTCAGCTCCCAAAGCTCTGAGTGCATCCACTTTTTCATTAGACATTTTTTCAGGCATTACTATGATGCACCTGTAGCCCTTGACAGCACTGGCCATGGCCAAACCTATGCCTGTATTACCTGATGTGGGCTCTATAATCGTATAACCTGGTTTGATGAGGCCTTTGTCTTCTGCATCTTGAATCATCCTAGGAGGACAGATGACATAAAACTTAGTCATCGACTTGTCAATCTATTTTTCTTACCTGTAGGCGATTCTGTCCTTAACACTTCCTCCAGGATTCAAATATTCACACTTCACCAGCATTTCACACTTGATACCATAAGCTTTTGGGATTTTGTTCAATCTCACCAAAGGTGTATGGCCAATGGCCCAAAGGACATCAGGCATTATTTTTGGCCTTTCAGGGTACAGACGTACAGTATGTGGGTTGTCTTTTGGACCAGAAGAATTTGATATTTTATCTTGCCCATTTGTTGTTTTGTAGGACCAGGTGCATCTTGAGGGTTGATCTGGTCTTATGAAGTCGACTGTTGGTTCTGGTTTTTGGTTTAGACATGTACCTGACATTTTGACAAAGGTAGTAATTGAATCTGGAAAAATATAGATGGTGAATATGGTTTCTGGTAAAATTCTTAGATGGCCCATTTTTTTCTGAACCAATACAAAAGACCATTGGGAATCCTATAATGGATTTTTAAATTCTCTAAAATTTTATTTAATGACTGGGTCTAAAATTGCGTAAAAATAGCTATTTTCTCCTAAACTAATCGGAAAAATTTCCACAGCTTTGACTGGCTTCAAATACAAATTTATTGGTTGGCATTTTATTTATTATTATTATTTATTATTATTATTTATTATTTTATTTATTTATTATTATTAGTATTGAATTTCATTGAATTTAGTTATTCTTACATATAATTATGATTTTCAATAAATCTTTAAAATTTTCTACCATCTACTAAAAAAGTAATAGTATAACTTCAACTGTCCTTAGTTAAAAAAAAAGTTGTCTTAAAAGTTTAATAAATTTGGTTTGGTTTCTTTTACAGTTTCTATATCAATATCTTGAACAAATAAATTATTTCCTATCAATTATTTTAAAATTAAACGTTTGTTTTGTTATTTCTGGCCTTTGTTGACCTTGTCGATGATAACGCCAATATTGGTGATAAGCAGAAATAAAAACATTGTGCAATATATTATCAGAAAATGAATGGCCATGGTTTTATTATTGTAATATTTGATTAGAATATTTGCAAAAATTAAATAACTGAATATTTTAAAAATTTTGTACCTACTGAGGAATGAGGAATTTTATTTGTATAGAAAAATTTTAGATTCGAATTGTAACATTATTATTTTTTCCAATACGTTTTCTATCAATATTATTTTTTTATTACAATTATTTCCATTAATAATATAATTATTATTTTTGTTACTTTTCATCTCACCATTATTAATATTATTATCATTAATATTGATGTTACTGAATACTTTACTTTAGTTTACTAAAACTTTTGGGGGAATAAAAGAGAACATGGTTTTTAAATAAAAACAAATAAAAATGTTATGACATTTTTTATAGTTTTGAAATCATAATTTTCAATATATTTTTAAAAAACATAGAAATATCTTTCACTTATTTACATATTTCTATACTTTTATTACTATTTTTAACTTTATGTTGAATTTAAATTTTTTTATTCAAAATATCAAATGTACATTTAAATTAATGTAATAATTAACTTTGAAAATTATAAAAAATTTCTTAACTTTAATAAAAGTAACTTTTAAGTAAAAGTCCTTTGATCTAAGGTTCTCAAAAGTTTTATAATGACAATATTACAATTAAAATTAATACTCAATTAATTTATTATTTTTGGTACAAATTACTCAAAATTATTTAAACAAAAAGTTTGTTTTTTGAAATTTTAAGGTTCATACCTAATATGAGCTTTATAATGAATTAATTTTTGACTTTATTTATTAGATCTGTTGTAACTTTCGAATAGTTTGTCTAGTATCAAAATGATATTCCGCAAACTTGTTCAAAATTAATTTATTAATATTTTTCTCTAATATTATAAAACACTACAGCAACTCTGTATACTTTAAAAACACATTTGAAAGCAGATATATGAATCATCATCTATTTAAAGCGCATCTATTTGTTATATCCCTGGTAACTTTTGAATAATTTGTCCAAACTGAATGGAATATTTGACAAATTTATATAAAATTCAATTATTTATAATATTTTCTAATATCATAAAGCCCTACAGCAATTGGGTATAATAGGTTGTCAAATATCTCCCTTCCGCCTTTTTGTATTATAAACCAAGAGCAAAAAAGCGGAAGGGAGATATTTGACAACCTAATACTTTAAAATCGCATATGAAAGCAGATATTAAAATTGCATTTATTTGAAAATAGAAAATGAATCCTAGCTTCTTGAACTGAACGTGCATTTATTCATTAAAAAAAATTCTAATACTTAAACCGTTTGATGTATATGATTGGGGTTCAAGACAAATTTGTTCAAAATTGAATTATCTACAATTTTTTCTAACAATATAATATTCTACGGCAACTCGGTGTACTCCAAAATTTACTTTATTTACTCGGTTTACTCCAAAACGATGAAAAGTAAAACTCACTAAAAATGTAGGAATGTTAAGGTAAGGGGACGTTGTGACGCAATGATATTTTTAATGAAAATTCTAAAATAGCTGATATTTTGATACAAAAAGGTACTAAATAAATATTTCAATACATCATGAACGCAATTACATGTCTAGTTAACAAAAAACAATACCTTTTTCAAAAACTTATCCACTATTTATTCCCAACACACACCACTTTTCCAAACAGATTTAACCAATGGCCAAAAAATGCAACCACACACTTCTATCTTATTTATTTGGTTTAACTTTTAATTTTTTGCACAGATTTTTTACCACACAACTTCTACACATACAATATATATGCACTGATTTAAATAAATAAAAAAATTAAACTCTGAACCGGTTTTTATGACCGTTTTTGTAGCCGAATTGTACCTCCTGCCTCGACGAATTCTCGCACCGAACTAATTTATTTCGATGTGGTCGTAAAGGATTCGACCGAGACGTTGTTGAAAACAGTACAAAAAGTTATGAATCGGGGACACAGAGTCGAATTTTGGGGAAAATGATGAAAATTAATATCTAAATATATAGGGACATAAGTTTTGCAGGGTTGAATTTAGGTAGAAACGAAGAAATCTGATTTTTATATCAATTAAATGATGCTGGAAGTTGGTAAAGTGCCTGGTGTACTAAAAATGTTAATGAAGTCAAAAATAACTTTTTTAAGGTTTAAACTCAGACAAAAAAATACAATTTTTTTTACTAATTGTAGTAGGGGTGTTAATAAAATCAAAAAAAAATTTCAAGCTTTGAACTCAGTCTAATTTTTTCACTAACCAAATTAATTATTTAAGTATCTGGGAAGTTGATAAAGTTAAAAAATGGTTGAGTTTGTACTAATTAGATTAAAATTGATGGCAAAGTAAAATAAAATTCAAAACATGCAAAAAATAATAAATCGGCAAGGCATGGCCAAAGTTTGGGGAAATAATTATAATTTAATACTTTTTGCAATATTTAATTTTAACGACTAGTCTAGTTCGGGACATTTTTTTTTGGTTTTTGTCAAATAACTCACAAATATCATATGAAAGCACACCTTTTCGGTTAGATAGGAAGAAACTAGATAAAATTTACTACGATTCCATGCTAACAGTTATATACACTTCTATATAAAAATTTAGAATAAAATGACTTTAAATTCGATTTTTCATATTCTTTGGCATTAAATAGAAAATTCCGGATTTTTTTTTGGTTCTTGTCAAATATAATAAAATTTACTACGATTTCATGCCAACAATTATATACAGTCTAATGTGTTTACAAAAGTATATATTTACTTTGTAAAAAATTATGTGAGTTAATACTGATTAGGCTAAAATTAATTGCAAAATGAAATAGAATTCAAAATGTGCATAAAATATTTATTTGCGAAGATTCAAAATTAAAATAAATATTATATTTCAATATTTCATCAACTAATAGGCTAAATACTTGCTTGTTTGTTTTTAAAATTTGTTTAGAAATTTGTTTGATGTTTCTCCCAATTAAACTAAAATTGATTTCAAAAATAATACTAGAAAAGCTATACTAAAATAATAATAAAATCTACAAAGAAAACTATACTCAAATAATAATAAAATCTACAAAAAAACTATACTAAAATAATGTATAAACATTGAATCGGTGAGAAAGAGCTGTTTTTCGATAAAAAAAATATATATATTACTATTTATATTAATAAAATAATATAATTACTTTCATTAGGCTTAAATAAGAAACAAAAATCCGTTATGTTTCTATCAATAAAACAATTTAATATTAAATATTATTTTAAATTTGGAAATTGGGAAAAAACTATAGCAACTATAGATTTACTATATATATAAAGAAATTTACAATTCATTATTTTATTAAACTTATATATTAAGATTTACAAAATTTATTTATTCATCTGAAAAAAAAAATATATAAATGCATTTTTTTTAGTAAAATATTTTTTAGTGAAAAAGTGTAATCATACAGGTAATTAATTCTGTTTTTTTCTGTAACCTTTTGTTAAAACTTTCTAAAATTCTCAAATTTTTAACATTTTAATATTTTATTGAATAATCCACTCATTTATTTTTATCATTTTCATTTTGATTATATTGTCATATTTCTGTACATTATTTTTTCAACAATTTTATTGATTAAAAAAATCCATCATATTATACATTTAAACATATTGTTTGCTTAAATCTTATCAAGATCATGTTTCTTGACCTGTCCTGAAGTCCTGAAGATGAAACGTACTTAGTTCCGAAACGTCGACAGTAAATAAATAAACAAATGATTTTTAAAAAAAGAAAACGTCTTAGGTTTTTTATTACTTTATATATATATATATATATGTATATATATATATATATATATATATATAAATAAATACTTACTAAATCATTTTACTATTTTTATATCATTTTTTCTGTTTGATGGGAAAACCGCTACGTCAATTTGCACGTAACCTATATCGAGGCCTCGTTCCAGGTTAAGTGTCAATTTGGCCCGACGGACGGTCGGAAAACATAGATTATTTAAATATATATTATATATTTATATTATGTATATATTTATACATCGGCGATAATGCGGACCTGTACGTTATACCAATCATGTACTGAGGTCATAACAATTATAAATATGCGATTTATTTCCATTACAAACGGTTGTGGTTCTCGGATCAAATGTTATCCGAGTCGATTATGATATAACCAGATATAATTTTAATATCAGATATTGTTGAATTTCGTCTAATCTAATCTTTTGGTTTTTTTTCTAATTTTTATCTAGACTACGTCATGTGCAACCAAATTTGCAAAAAAAAAAGATTAAATTATAATTAGATTTGCTGCTAAAAATTCTGCTCATCATGTAAGTTAATGATGTACTACAATTATTATAAAATTTAGTAAAACAAGATATATTTTATTTTATTTTATGAACTTATGATGCTCTCATATTTTAATAACATTTGTATATCATATTATGAACTAGATTAAAATAAAATAAACTATGAAACGTACGAATATGTAACGTAATATTTGTTTTGCATATTTCATACAATGATATGCAGAACTCGATATGCGAAATTTTAATGGAATTTTGTATATATATATATATATATATATATATATATATATATTTAATTAAAATTTTGATAATAATAATTTATTTATGGTTATTTAAATTACATTCATCGATACCGAGGCCGTTTTGCAAAAATTCTAAATATATCTCATAAACTAATTTGAATACAAATTACCAATAAATTTTACATGTGAATATTAATTTTAAAATTTTATCAAGTATTGTTATTACTAATTGTAAGTAAAAATATATTATGCAAATTGTGTACGTATAATCAGAAGAAAACCTTGAAATAATTATTTTTCTTTAAATTAAATAATTATTTTAATATAATTTTTTTTATCTCTGTGTCTTGGCTTTGCCTTAGCTTGGCGTTTACATTTTTACTTAATAACTTTTTAAAATGAATGTTCTATTATTTTAAATAAAAATATATATATAAATATATATATAGATATATATATATATATATATATTATTATAAATAAATAAATATATATATATATATATATATATTTATATATATATATATATGTATATATTTTATTATAAATTACTATCTGTCTAAATACAAAGACAAACACTTATATTACTATAATTACAAATTTATACATGAATCGTTTAATTCATAAATTAATTACAATAAATTTATCCAATCATAAAATTATTATCCAATTAAAATAATTAATTAAATATAGATATATCAATTAGTAGATAGATGTACGGATGAATGTACGAATGTAAGAATGTATATATGTATGTATGTATATATGTATCTATGGTGTGTGAATCAATTTCCCAGTGTTGGTGAAAACGTAAAAAATCAAAAAAAATCAGTGAACCGCGCAGTAAATTTATATCGAAGGGTTTCAAAGCATATATTTTATGTCCTTCGTTTCATATGTGGTCTTCTCAATAAAGAATGTTTTTCCATGTCGTGACATGGGAATAAAATGATTTTTCACAGAAATTCCTTTCCATCGGTACATTTTCTTGACAATGTACGGAATGCGCCGAGAGAACTCATATTTTGTGTGAAAACCTTCTTCTTCTTCTTGTTGGATTTATGCAGAAAATCCTCGCCTCTTCGATATGCTAAACATCATTCACGACGGTTGTAAATGCAACGTTATGCTTTAGGCGATTTTTTTTTTGTTAGATATTTATGGATGTATTTAAATTTATTTTATTGTTAACCAAAGTAGGCTTAGATTTGTGAGGCACAAGTATAAAAATAAGATTTAAAAGCCCCGAGGAAATTTTTTATTATTGTTGTTCAAAGTACTTGAGGAATTTTTATGTATTATTGCAAGAAATCTTCTAAAGTATTATATTTTTATTGCAAGTTATTGCAAGAAAAGTTTAAGTAAACTATTTTCTAAAGGACTTTGATTCCAGTTTCAGAGTAAAAATATTTCATTTCAAGTTACTATGAAGTTATTTTAATTGCATTCTGAAAGTTTGCGTTTCTATGAAATTGTAGTGTTTTGCTTCTTTGATAGAAATTTATTTTAAATATAAATTTTATTAATGTGGCAAAATTATAGAATTATACTAGATGACCCAACAGACGTTGTCCTGTCCTACGTCTACAATTCAGAAGTTCCAAATTGTTTGAATATCCTATCCTATATTTTTTAATATCCTATTTGATGTCCTGCCATTGTGATTCATTTATGATCTTAGTAGCAGTAAAAAACAATAGTAAAAAAACGATACGACCCTTGATTTTTCAATCCAAATATTGTTTCAATAATTTAGTCTATAATCTCGTACGATATATTAGTTGCTTTTTGCCAATTATAATTTCTAAATACATTTTTCTTACTGATAATTTAATATATAATTGTTTGTTTATGTCCAAATCTTAGGTGAATTAATTTGTAAAATCCTGTTCATATGTGCACTATTCATCTAGATCAAAAGGCTAAATATTCCATCATTTTTCCAACACATTCTTACTTAAATCGAAAATTTGTTTAGTACTTATAAAATATTTTACATTTCTAAAAATTATATACAACTAGCCGCCCGACAGACTTCGTCCTGTCAAAAAACTTGTAATGGTGGCGGTGTTTTGTGGCTACCTTTTTTCTATTCTTTGCAAAAAATTATCCTGAACAGAACCGTCACCCTGGTAATAAATCGGTGTGAATTAGAAATAATTAAATAAAAACACTATAAGCATTTAAAAGGAAGTAATTTTAATAATGTAAATCATAAATCAAAAATCAGTTCAATTTTCATTGTAGTGCTTTGTGTATAAACGATGTTTTTTTGTTTGATTACCTGGCGCATAGACAAAAAATCTGATG